AATCGCTATTGAATAACTATACAGAGGCAGATAAAATGTAGCACCTGTATATTTCATCTCCGAAGATGGTTGAATATCAGTTTATTTACAGCTGCAACTTACATTAAATTAAGAGATATGTAAATGTCAATAAATCATTGACTGGTTGAGTTTCATTTTAGTCAGTTTTAACAAATGACAGAATAGCTAGAATCATGCATATAATGCGGGAGTCTATTTTTACTACACTGTGCATACTTTGCCTAGTTGTGGGTGTTTTGTCAACATTTACCTAGTTTACACATATATCAACATCTTATTATTATTGTTGGTCAAGGCTAAATCAATCTTCAAAAATAATTTGGATACAGTGGATAATCGTATAATGTAATATATTCAATTATCTCTAGAGAATTGAATATAATTTTAAATACAGTTTAGATGCTTTAGTTAAAAAACAAATGGGATTGAGTCATTTAAAATGCACGTAAGCATGATCTATAGGTACTGACAGAAATATTCATAAAATAGAGAAACACAGAAACCCTTAAAAAAGCCCAACCCAAGCTTATCATTGGTAAAGATTTTTACGTAGCAAGTTAGCCTATATTTCAGGGATATCAAAATGGTGAGGTCATACACTTCTGGAGTGGCGCTTGAAACTGAGGCGGAGATCTTCTAAAAGGATACCCACTTTGCTATTATATGACCAGAAGAAAGAGCAAGTTTTATGTGCTAGAAATACGCAAAATGATATCCTTATATGACATTTGCCGTTTTTCTAAAATGAGATGAAAGAGGATCCACAATGGCTGACTTTTTCTTTTATGTAAGTTAATTATTGCAACTACATGTCTACATTAACTTACATTTTTGTTTGTAAGCACACTAACACAGTTCGTCGCTCTATGTATCATTAATTAAGTTAACCAGTTTTTCAACGAAAATCGGTTATTGAAATGCCAAAGTCGGAAGGCGTATATGCGGGCGGACGATTGGGCGGGAGGCGTGCGGGTGTTAACTTTTGGTTTATGCTTAATAACTTGAATTTGCTATTGACTCTAAACATGGTGAATCGGTAGTATATATCAAAAGAAGCTTGGAATTGCTACATAGGTGTCTGTGATCAATTCAAAGATTACTGTTGCCAAAAAAAGAAATTCAGTATCCGCTAAATAATTTGAGTTGGCTTTGGCCTATTGACACTAAACTTGGTGTATTGGTTGCTTATATCAATACCTACACAGATGTCTGTAGTCTAGGTCAAGGGCACTTAATACAGACATTCAGTTTCTACTCAATAACTTAAGCTTGCTTAGGCCTTTTGACACAAAACTTGTTGTATTGGTAGCTAATATCAAGACGCAGCTTGAACTGACTGCCTTAGTTTCTGATCAAGGTCAATGTTGCTAAAAAGAACTTGTACTTTAGCTTAATTAATTGATTTTACTTAGGCCTATTGACGCTTAGCTGGGTGTTTTGGTATCTAATGTCAAGAGGCAGTTTGTTATTGTTATCTTGATGTGTTTGATCAAGGTCTAGGTCACTGTCGCTAAAATTATAAATTAAGTTTCCAAGTTGCTCAATAACTTCAGTTTCCTTTGACATATTGACATCAAACTAGTATGTGATAGCTTTTATTAAGACTCTGCTTGGGATAACCTCTCAGGGAACTATGATTAAGGTCAAGGTCACTATTACTAGAAATAGTTCTAAATTCAGTTTCTACATAAGCGACCTATTGAAAGCAAAGTTTGTGTGTTGGTAGCTTATATCGAGACGCAACTCGTATTTCCTACCCAGATGTATCTGATCAAGGTCAATATGACTGTTGCTAAAAAGAATCTTTGTTTGAGGTTGCTTTGGCCTTTTGATACCAAAATTGGTATGTGAGTAGCTTATGCCTAGATGTAAGTTTGGCTTGTTTCGTAGGTGTCTGTGATTAAGGTGATGGCCACTTCCTTGCAGAAAGAAAGTTGGTTTGCACATCATAACTCGAGTATAGTAACCAATTACATGACCTATTTACGCCAAACTTGCTGTGAAGGTAGCTTATATGAAGATGTACATTTATATATTTAGATTGCTACTTAAATATCTGGGAGAAAAGTCAATGTCACTTGCTGACAATATAGTTATAATTAATTTAGCAGATTTAATCAATAATTCAGTACACATTGACTTATTGATACTTAACTTGGCTTTAGTGTAGCCTACACGAAAATACATCCTTGCATTGCTACCCAGGTGTCTGTTATATTTTTATTTTGTACTGTTTGAACCCGATCTGTGTTGGTATGCATAAAAGCATCTTTTTCTAACTGCCATACTTCACTCTAAATTCCTTTCACATCATACTTGGTCGGTGAAAAGCTGTTTTTCGTCGCATTGTGGATTAGGTTAAAAAGCATAGTGCGGTTTTCATCCCAGGAGGAAAACAAGGCACTGAGTGAGGAAAATCGACACTTATGGTACAAAATAAATCCCACTTTAAACTTGAGGCAAAACATTCCCAACAAACCCTAAAACATAATGGTACATATGTGAGATGTACCGTGGCAAACTTTATGGTTTAAATTATACATGAATATCATGAATATGGAAAATAATATGAAACATTGAAGGTTATTTATTGACAATCCTCTGAATCATAATGCTTAGATAGTTGCCTAGTAATGTAATGTTATATGCCACTTTAAATGCATAAATGGTTAATTTTTAGGGCTTTAGGGCTCATTTAACCCTTTGTATGATCAAAACAACTGAGCATTTTTAACAATTTACTTAACTGTAGTGATATAAAAATAAGAACAAAATCTTCTATAGAAATTATGATTGTAATAAATATGCCTCATCATGCGAAACAAAAATTTTACCAGTTTGTTTCTCGAACAAAGAACAACCATATTAAAAACATTTATGAAACAAAATAGAAAGTCCTTACCCGTTAGAAGCGCTTATGAAACGGTCAAAATACAGGTTCAATTTATCTGCATGTTTAACATTCAACTTCAAATTAATTTGGAGAAAAGGAAATTTTGATAATCATCACGCTATAGCTGTGCACCTTTAACATGTTTTTTTCACATGACAAGGCTCTTGACAAGGCTTAAGTGTTGAACTAGTTACCTAGTTATCAGCACTGTTTGTAAATTGATAACAATTGATAAGAATGAACAAATTAAGAACATTTTACAATGCACGCATTAAGAACATATTACAATGCACACATTAAGACCATATTTGTAAATTGATGACAATGCACGCATTAAGAATATATAACAATGCATACATTAAGAACATATCGATAGCAAACAGTGTACTTGTAATCATCAGGAACTAATCAATACAGCACATGACATTTCAAGAACAAAACGATGTATTTGGTGTAAGTCTGTCCCAAATGTTATATATACATGTATATTAGATTAAATATGAAAAGATTAAATTATGAGAAGATATCTGTATCAAAAAAAGAGAAAATACTTATTACTAGAATAAGAAAATATTAATAAGGGAATGTTAAAATACTTAAATAATGTATTTTTGATAACACATACTATCAAACTCATGTAAAAAAAAAAAAAGCATAAAGCGATGTCAACGATTTTAACCCACAAATACCTTGATGAAGAAGAAGAGGAGAAGAATGCACTATGTTATGGTTCATTTAAGATACAATACATACATATAAATATAAACAACTTTATTCAAAGGATTTTATTTTCAGTAAAACCGCATGGAGCATAATCGCGGTGGTTAAAGTGAAAAGAAAAAAAAGTTTACTGTAAGGTAAATGTTCAAATAATATCTACACCTGCCTCACCTAAAAAAAACTAACCTATTATTATTATCAAATATAATAAACAGGTATTTACATTGTTGTACCTTAATTGAGGAGTGTCTTCAAAAACAGTTTTTACAAGTTTCATAATTTAATAGGTTCATTTCAGGCAATCACTGCTTTAGACATAACGATAATCATTTGAACCAAAGGAATTCATAGTGAATCTTAGCTTGTTTTAGAGTCCATATTTATTTTTTTGGATAAGTAGAAATGTCTGAAAAGGACTATTTCAGTTAAATAAAAGAAATATATCAAGACTCACGTAATGACGAGAGACTGCAACTTGATATGCAAATGAATGTGGTGCTAAATGAGAGGAGGAAAGTGTTTACCTTAACAAAGGCTTTAAGGAAAGACAAAGTAGAAAGTAGAAAATTGAAAAAAAAAAAATTTGTTTTGCTTATTAATATTTTTTTTAATAGAATGTTATAAAGTAATATCATCACCATTTTACGTTGATTGTCGAACTTTTTATTCAGCCCAAGATTTCTTGTATATTATGAGAAATTCGACTTAAATGAGGCTACCAGTGGTGAAAACTGATTTAAATGTTGAAGTTAATATTCTGCAAATTTCGATTTACTTTGTTTTTATTAATGAGCAGAAAATATAACAGAAAACGTGTTTGTTGGGTTAGATTAAATTTTCAAAACAGTATCCTCACAAAAACAAATAAATATCATCTATATCATCTCGTGAAAACAGAAAACAATAAAATAACATGAACATTGCAGACTCTGTTTAATTGAGTCTATACATGAGGGACAATGAAAAAGTGCAACATCCAACACGACGCATAAAACCGGCTTGATGTGTACATGAGAATTTATTTATCTTTTATTTAGAAAGTTAAATCTGTTACTATCTAGAATATTCATCGCATGGTTTTACGGCTGTCATGTTTTACTGATTGAAGTCGTTAAATAATCTTTTGTTGCATACTTTAATCGTTAGCTTGTTATATTTTCTTGATGTCACAGTCATTTCGGTGTTTCTCCATGAATCCCCCTGCGTGGTGAACTTTGCAATAAAAAAACAACAACAAAATGGCGGCCATTTTAAGGAAAAAACATGTGACTAGATTTATTTATAATTATACCTTAAAAAGTACTGTTACCCATATAACAGTAAAAATGTCTTGGTACACAGTGAGAATAACTTCAAGTGACCTATGAGAAATTTTGTCTGCACCCAACAGAGTGCGTTTTGCGTGTAAAATATATTTTGGTTGAATAGTCAAATCTTCAACAAGTGCGGAGTAATAATAATAACTGCCATTTGTATGCATTTCATGGTCCGATGATGGTGAATTTGTCAAAGCTCGTATTTTGTAATTGCTGAAACTACATGTTATAAAACGATAAAGTGTAATGCTAAAACTGTCAAATCTGCATCGCAAGACAGTCGTGTCGAAGGATATTTTAAGGAGGTAAAGATTTTTCCATTTTAAAATTGTATATGTATCAAAATAACAGTTAGTTTGTTTGCAACTATAGAGAGATGTGTTATTTTTATAATTTATCTCACATTTATCAACAACATTCATTTATATTTATTTTTATTTCGGTGTTTGTACTATATACTATCAACAGAATTATTTATGGCATAACATACCTTCCATGATGGAACATTTCGCTTTGATAATTATCCCCTATTAGTATCACATTATCTATTGTATGTGAACGATATATTATAAAATAAATTCATTTTTGACAGTGATAATACTTTTTAATGTTATTTAATTTTAATAACTCTATCATTTGTATTATCGAAAAATTATTTAAGTTATCAAAGGTAGAACGAAAAAAAATATTTAAATTGGTTACCTGATTGATTAATTTTAAAAGATAAGTGTTCAGTTTAATCGCTAAAAAACAACACTTAAGTATGACATCTGGACGAATTGTTTATCATAAAGAATGTAAAACTTGATATTTTACAGTGCTTTTTTAAAGTTTTCTTTATAACATGTCAGAATTTCTATGCTGTATACAATAATTAATATCAGTAAGATTGATGATATCTGAAAAATTAAGCACAACTTTGATTCCTCTTGATATGACATTGTTTTAAATAGTCTTTGTTAAAGTGACATTATTATCATCCAACTTTAAATAGTAAAAAAAAAACAGTTGGAAAGAGTACCTGGACAATTTTCCATAATTGTGTTCAATTTCATATCTTAATATGACAAAATAATTAGGTCTTTTATATTGTATTACAAACATTTTTTTTTTTTATTATCAATAATTGGTAATTCACCATTATAATACACAATCTTCTGAATGACGATATCTGAAAAAGTTCGCACAACTTTGATCCCTCTTGATATGACATTGTTTTAAATACTCTTTGGTTAAAGTGACATTATATCCATCCAACTTTAAATGAAAAAAAAAAACAGGTGCAAATAGTACCTGGACATTTTTTCGAAATTGTGTTCAATTTCATATCCTATAATGACAAAACAATTTCTAATCCATGCGACCAACGTCAATTGCACAGGTGAACGTCACATGGCCATGACTTACACTATACTCCCGTTCCCCCTCTACAAGCCAAAACCCTTAAACATCATCCCAACATCATAAGTATTGACACAAATGAATTTTATGAAAAAAATATATGACTCTAAAAAAATATGAAGGTATTTTACTCTACTTTTATTTTGCATAGAAATAACACTAGCATCTCAATTATCAGCGCATATATTCATCAATTTTTTATCGATCTTATCAATCCTGGTGTCAAATCTTAGATAAATATATACTTTTTAAGAAAACAACACTGACACCTTAGCTGATTATACGTAGCAAAAAATATTCAAGCCCAAACTGTCAAATCTGATTGTACCGTCGTTTCGGTATAACTCACACTAAATTCACAGTGAATGAATATTTGTTTGTATTGCGTATTAAAAAAAGTTAAAATGATTAAAAAATAAATAATTATTTGTAATAGTTGTTCAATCAAAGCATCATATGAAACTATATCGCACCTTTTCTCCGATATGTCCAATTCTCAATTCAAAATGAAAGTAAAATGGCGTAGCAGATTGTTTTCAAATGCAATATTTTCATTGGTCACATGAAAACCTCGGACCAATTAAAGTACTCCATACAAAAGCGAAGGGAAACAAAGCTGCTGTTCACAACTTTGTTTTATGAATATGCATCAAATAGTTTGAAAATAAATGCCGAAAATCGATTGAGAACACAAAAGTATAGAAATCACATAAAAGACAGAAATACAGAATTTAAAATGTCGCACTATTGTTTGAGCAATGATTTTATTCAACATTTTCTTATAATACATGTACATGTCGGACCATTTATTGTTTCACAAAATCCAAGAAGAAAAAGATAAATCCGTGAATGTAAAATTCTGCAATTTAGTGAAGAAAACCTTAAAGCATACAATGCAACTAGAGATATTCGCCTTCAGAGAGCACATTTATTTTGCAATATTGAACCCGAAAAAAAAACACGACTGATTGTCGCTAAATTTACGGACTTCCTCGATTGTGAGCGAGTGCGACGAGCTGCTATATGCCTGAAATGATCTGTCTATGGTATATCAGAACAGTATCCGAAAGAAATAGTAGATCAGCGCCGTTAGTTGATCCCTGAAATGTTACAAGCCCACAGGAATGGAATGGAAAGGAAGCATATTTTAAGATGGACAAGCTTAACGGTAACAATCGGCTTTATAGAGAGTCACTAGGAACCATAGAGAGTCACTAGGAACCATTGAGAGTCACTAGGAACCATAGAGAGTCACTAGGAACCAAGTGGGAATGTTTTACAATGTAAATCATGGAAATTGAAATGACTTACTCTGGAACAAAACTATTCAAGGATTTTAGACATATTATTTCAAAAAGATTTCATTTGTCTAAGAGAAATATAGACAACAAATCGTCATATATTGAGCTTAAAGACTATTCAAACCCAATTCATTTATACCGTAAATATCAACATCGTAGGGCAAAGTTGTGGGGCAGTGGACTTGTGGTATATATAAAATATACTATAAGGCAAGTAATAAAAATTATGAACTACATCGCACCTGAGTTTTTTCCTGTGCAAAACGTTTACAATATTTTTTTTTTTACAATTTGAACAAGAAAGTATTGACAACAATTTGCTAGGCAAAATAGTTGTACTTGGCGGTCTTAATAGTATATTATGGTTGTAAAGATGATTTATTCAAATATAAGCACTGGTGAAGTAATAACTATTGATAATCTCATGCCTCGTATTTATAAAGATACCACGTCAAATCATTTCCATGATTATCTACTTGATATTTGTAAAGCAACCAACCAGGGAATAAGTAACGGCCACTAGCCAGGTGATCGCGGGGATGTTACAAGTCTCAGTCTACTTAAGTATGAAGATAATTTTTGCAAACTGGACAATAATTATTCTGAGGTCGGAGAATACAATATTTTGTCTGTGATGCCTCATTTTCGTTTTTATTTTAAATTAACCCTTTCGCTGGCAGCGGGTTATTGTTTAAATGATCACCTATTTGCCAGAGGGTTTTCTAAGAAATTACTATATTATTAGTTAGTATAATTATTATCATTTGTTATTAGTATTATAATTATTATATATGTTGTCGATGGTATAATTTTCTTTATATTTATTATTAATTCTATTATTATTAATAATTTATTGTTATTATTATTATTATTATTATAGAGACGGCTAAAGCCGTCCATATGGCAAATACACCGAAAATAGTATAATAAATATAGCAGTGAAAGGGTTAATATCGAGAAAATATACGAGTCTACAAAAACTACAAATACAGTTATTAAGTATGATTAAAAGTACCAATATTTATTTCTTAGAGAGATCTATATTATCCCAGAAGTAGAACCCACTGGAAAGTGAAAGTGCTCTGAAATTAATGGAAAAAAGTGTTAATAGACTCGCTTTTTTACGGTGTTTTTGTGTGAACAGGGGGATAACTATTTCATGAAATAGATAAATACAGAATCCCTAAAGAAAGCCCAACACGGCAAAATTGAAAATGTTGCAGGCTCGGTTTGATTGAGCCTGTTCATGGACGGTACTGGAAAGTGCAAGTTACCGTCCACGCCCCCTAGCACCGGCTTAAGCAGAATTCAACATTTAACAACAATAATGTCGTGCTGAACGATCTTCAAGGATCGAAAATATAACATCATTGATTAAATGTACGGGGAGACTTTTTACAGCCGCCACACGGCACAAATAACACGGATGTGATCATAAAATAGATAAATACAGAATCCCTAAAGAAAGCCCAACACGGCAAAATTGAAAATGTTGCAGGCTCGGTTTGATTGAGCCTGTTCATGGACGGTACTGGAAAGTGCAAGTTACCGTCCACGCCCCCTAGAAGACTTAAATAATTGTTGACGACGTTTTTTAGTGATAAAAACAGACATAAGAAATGGTTCGATAATTCTTAAAAATTGGCTGCATATAAGGATGTGGTATCCAAATATAATTTATCTTACTCTTCTGAAGATATTGAAATACTTTTAATAATAGCCGTTGTCGAAAAAAAGAACGATTTAAAAAGGCCTCAATCACCATGGGAATTTTCGAAAATATTCCAAACTACAAGTTCTACTATTTTGGGGAAGATATTTCAATTAGTGATTTTAAATATCTTTTTTTGTAATTTAATGTCAGGGGAGCATGAGGAGGAAGTAGACAATCATGACTTTGAGAATTTTATCAATACTTCAGGTGAGGAAATATATGACAGTAACACATTTGAGACAATGGATGAACGTATCTCAAACGAGGAAATTTTGCTATCCGGAAGCTAGGAGTAAACCAAACGCCCTCATTAGAAAATATCCTCTATGAATGCTTTAAATTATCTGTCACTAAAATAATTCACCCATCAAATGTTCTTCAATCATGTATTATATAAGAAGAAATTTCTCAAGTCCTTGGCGACAGGTTTTATTATTCCCTTAAATAAGAAGGGCAATAATTCCAAAAAAAAAAAATTAGAGAAATCAGACTGACAAGCTATTTCTCTTAGTTGTTTACAATTATATTAAAAAGACTTAATCATGGGCAGCAGACCACTGTGTTCTAATGGATGCCAAGTTTGATTTCGAAAATGGGTATAGCACAATTGTTGCTTTTTTTCATCTTACATTGACTGAAACAAAGGCAAACAATTAAAAACAAGAATACCTTGTACCATTGTTTCGTGAATTACAGGAAAGCGTATGTCTGTATTGATAGGTCAAGTTTTGGTATAAACTTATATAATAAGGTATAGAAAAAAAATTCTTATCAATTATAAGATCAATGAATGAAGAGGTAAAAGTGTGTGTTAAACCATAATAATGCCTTCAATGGTTGTTATCCTGAAATGTGTATTTTTTTAATGTCAGCTGAAATTGACATCATA